GATAATTATAATAATTGCGAGTCTAATTATGAGTCAGATAATGAAGAAGCTACCTGCGCCTCAACCAGCATTATCAATACTCCATTTGTACAAGAGAGATGGGACTCACCTATTAATGTGACATATACTTTAAGGCAGAAAAAGTTCAATGATAATTTTTCTCCCAAGAATTTGATAAGTGAAATCCGAAAAATCGCCTTATCACCATCTAGAGATATGTCGAATGATAAAGGATCATTAGAATGTCTTTCAATTTATTCATTTCTCTTTCCAAATGAAAAAGGCTCTAGCTTATATAATGCTTATGACTGAAGTGAGGTAGAGAATAAATTAGTTATCAAAATCGACTAAGATGGTGATCATGCTCCCAAATTTTCTGTCGCAGATGATATTTCTAAAGTATATGGTTTACCTGAGATTCATGAATGCATTAATGGTCAAAAACCTTTAAGAGCCGTGATTGATATAGATGCCTCACAGGAAGATATGAAAACATCTGGTGTTAAGGCACAAGAAGTATTTATTCGAATCTGCCTATCTTTTATAAGAGCCTTATATCGAATTCTTGATTGTAGCTGGAAGGATATTCTCAATGGTTTAGTAATCGCTACATCATCGGACTCTAGCAAGTGTAGCTACCATATTTTATACGCACCAGCTCTTCTTATTGATCATCACAAACTCAAAGCATTTACTGAATTAGTATATACTATAACTGGGGAAAAATTCGGTAAGTTTATCAATCGAAAATTACCTGGTCAAAATTTCAACCTTCGTCTTATTGGTTCAGCAAAAAAAGGTCACGTAAAGCGTATTCTTACATTCTCTCTAGATAATGGCTGGAATCAATCACGTTAGGGTTCAACCGCCTTCTAGTTTGGGACTTGTAGTAAGACCTCGGATCCTTAGTGAAGAAAAAAATAATAATCCATTAAAAATAATCGTAGGTCAGGATGTATTGCAAAAATATGCGAAACTTGTTTTGCAAAAGCATTCTAATTATCTTAGGGATTGGACTATCGAAGAAAAGGAAGAAACAAAGGAAAACTTCATATATTTCAACCAGAAAGCTTTACTAGAATGTCCACTATGTAAACGTATACATGACAAGGATCAGAGGTGGTTCAGCCGTATATGCGCTAGCAGTGGGAGATTCATCGTAAAATGCTTTCGGCAGAATAGTGATGAACCAGGAGATGTTTTTGAATGTGACCCATCTATTGCAGAAAAAATTCAGCAAAAAAATAAAAATATATCTTCAGAGCATCTGTCTAGCATTCGCAAGATAAAAGGCCCAGGTTTTCCTAAAGCCTTCATAAAATTCCCATCTTGGGTCAAGTATAATG